TTTATAATTTTAGAAGGAACTGAGCGGCGAAATTTTGAAGTTGCAGAGTTTGCATTGGGCCGCAAAAAGTCTACCGCCGGCTCTGAATCTGTGTCGTACATCACTGGATGGAAAAAATGATGCCGGAGTTTGCTTATCAGACATTCTATGACACGTACACATGTTGTAGTTGCAAAAAAATACTAAATGCATTGCTTACAATAATTTGCTCTTAGTTTTTTATATTGTAAATATTTCTTTTATTATACCGTACAGGGTAAGGTTATATTGTGAACGTATTTCTTATTATACAACACAGGGTGATAAGGGATAGGTTTTTATATTGTCCTTTGGTAACGGAGCCAATGAAATATTGTTGCGTGCGTGCGGGTACTTAATAGTACAAGTCCGATAATAGGTTAATAAAATTTATTCTCATCAAATGAAATATATCAGAAATCTGGAATTTTCCTCAAAGATATTCGTACAAGTTTTTACAGTATCACGCAGAAATAATCAGTAGTTATATTTCAAGGTACTAAAAACGTTAAATAGAACGCACTGCACAGCACATTTAAAGAGAAAGCTAATACAATCTCACTCTGAATTCGCAACAATAACATCAGCAGCTAACTAAAGAACTGAGCTGAGATGTCTCTCTACGGCTTTAAATAGTTTTCAACCGGCCGGTGAGATAGTTTTAGCATTTTCTGCTTCTCGAGATTTCTGGAAAGCAATAAAAGGATGAAATTACGGTTACAGCTAACATAGTGGTCAATTACAATTACTAAATTCCAATACAAATTACCGTGATATCCATTTATTCAATATTAAATGCACGTGCTCCTGTAGTTTTACATTTTCTGCAACGTTTTCTCTTAAAATTTGTCTCGCGTTGCATTGCACGAGGAAATACAACAATTTGATTATAATTCTACTAAAATCAGCTATATTTCTACTAAAATTAGCTATCTAAATACAAATTTCGTGAGAATATAAAATTTTTCACCGTGGTACATAAGGGGGACATTCATATGGTAAAGCAAATTTTGTTCATCTTATTCAAGGCCACCAGTCGCCGCCTCTACGAACTTTCCAGCGCAATTAATCCTCCTTCATTCGACGTCTGCTTTCAGCCTCGAGGCATCTCCGAAGAACTCTTGAATATACGTACGACTGCTATGCCTATAATTGCTTACCTCTTCGTCAGCGCCGGATCTTTGATTTTTCTGATGTGGGGCAAAAGCTAAAACTGTCGCCCTCACCCATCATCCTTTAAGTTTCTCTAACAAGTTTTAATTCATTTAATAAATACAGAAATAGGTAGGGTTTGAGGTAAAAACCTAAGCTCCATTTTATACTAAATTCCTTACATGCTATTTTTTTTATACATACCAATGTTACATAATTAGAAAATCGTCCCCTCCTAGGAGAACTGACTTTCTGGTGAGCTTACTTTTGGATTCAATCTTAATCCTAACTCTAATCCTGAAGTGCTTCTAACCCTCCAGTCTTCGAAACCATTCGTTTTTCCGCTCTAGGGAGAAGGGGCATCTCCTAAGCTTCTCACTATTTCCGTGTTATTGCATACTGGTTAAATTACGTTAGGTTAGCTTTATGATATGGCAAGACAGGGCTATTCTAGAGAGAGGTACTTCGGGGACTTTAAAAATGCTTATCAGTCACATGGGAATCACAAAACAACTCCCCAGACGTCGGGTTCGACCCGGAAGGCGAACCACAGTATTTCTGTAGATTAAAGCATAATCATTCTTAGAAAATAAAAGGTAAAAAGGCTTACCTTTTAGTCGATCTTCTTTCTAATCCAAAGGCATATCCGGGAGTGTTTTTTTATTTCATTCATCGATGCACTACTCACAGAAAGAGAGAGGCTTCTAAGATAATAAGATATTTAATTTACAATCACATCACTAAACTAAAATATATAATATATACTATAAATATATATATATAACACAGAAGAGTAGGATTACATGTTTCACTCAAACGTCCATCACGAGTTCTCAAAGTTCAGTTAAAAAAGTTTTAGTTTAATGTTTTTAGTTTTTGCTGCACACATGCGCAAATCACGTGGTTGTCGGTGAGAGTTTCAACATACTCCCAGCTTTAAATTTGCTGAAAAATCAAATTTAAAACTGTAACATTTGAACAGGCTTTACCATTCGACCAGTTCTTGTAATCATCGATGGAATCTTTTCGCTATTAAGATCTTGAGGCAAGTCATTACGAATATCAGGATCGCAGTAAGTCTCTGGTTCACCAGAAGAGCTGCTTGCCACATTTCTAAATCTAGACTATTCATCTGATGATGTTATCTCCAAAGGATACAAACACTTGGTTGGTCGCAAAACTTCTCCAAGCTTAGTCTTGACCTTAACTAAACGCACATGTCCATTCCGAGATTTGAAAATCCTCGGTTACTTTCGCCAATATCCAGTCTGTTCGCTTCTTATTATCATCGGACACTAAAACAAGATCTCCTATTTTCAGAGGTTGTGAAGCTTTTACATGTTCATAATTTTGCTGTAACTGTCCGAGATATTCGATTCGAAATCTTTTACTTAGATCTTGTAAAAGTTTTTGTTGATAAATAAGCCTTTTGTTTAAAGATTTCGCATTTATATTATCCAGATCAGGAACTCCAATGTGTGTTGAATCTCATGGAGAAACATGGAAGGTGTGATCGGAGATAAATCTTCAACATCTTCCGAGACATATGTCAATGGACGATTATTCGTTATTGTTTCACAGTCACACAAAATTGTTATAATTTCTTCATGATTCAGAGATGATCGTCCTAAAACTTTGCGAAGGATTCTTTTCAGGACTCCTATTAATCGCTCACACCATCCTCCCTACCAGGGAGCTGATGGCGGAAGAAATTTCCATGTAATTCTGTGGATACTAGCTTATTCTAAGATTTTATCCCAATTTAAGCTTTTGAATAATCTATCACTTCCTTTGAAATTCGTTCCATTGTCGGAATAGATGGTGTGGGGTCTTCCACGTCTAGCAATGAAACGTCTCGGTGCTTGCAGAAAACTTTCAGTTGATAGCGAGAAAATCAATTCCAAATGTACTGCGCGAAAAACAGCACAGGTAAAAATCACTATCCATGATTTTTGATTTCCCTTCAATATCAACGATCCAGTCAAGTCAACACCTACAATCTCAAAGACTGCTGCTTCTCTTACTCAGTCTTCAGGGAGAGCAGCAATGGGTGTTTTCAAAGAATTAGTATCGAACCTCTGACATACAACACAGCTTCTTATGACTTTCTTGACAGTCTTTCGTGTTTTCAAAATCCAATATTGTTCTCATAAAGCAGATATTAAAAATTGTACTCCTGCATGATTGTTCATTTCATGTTTAGCTCTAATTAATTTTACTACAATAGGATGATCTGAAGGAAGAATAATAGAAACTCGAAAATTTTCTGCATCATCTCTTCTCAGAATTCTGGTTTTAACCCTAAGGATTCTGTTAGAATCAATCATTGGTTGAAGTATACGTAATCTTTTGTCATCTAATCCAGAAAATGATTTGCTGTGCACTAATCTCAAAAGAGTTAGTTCGGCTCCTTTAATTTCTTCCGCTGTAATTGTTCCATAAGTTCTATCATTAGGACTTAGTCTGACATTTTTAACAAAATGGAAGATCCAAGATATTATCTTTAGAATGGTATTGTACGAAGAAATCTTATCAAAATTAACTTCAGTCATAGCATTCGAATTAACTGCAGAAATTATTGTCTTCTTTCTTTCAGCATTTATAATGTCAAAATTCAGTACAATTTCAGAGGTAGGCTATTTTTCTGAATCATTTCTCAACCAATCGGGACCCTCCCACCATTTCTATTTGACTAAGGTTTCCGGACTGCATCCTCGGGAAGGGAGGTCAGCTGGATTTAGTGTTCCAGGAATATAATTCCAGTCGTTTGGATTACTTAGAGTACGGATTTCTTTCACTCTATTGTGAACGAAAACGGCCCGGTTTTCATTCTTTTTTATCCAAAATAATGCATCCATAGAATCACTCCAATAATAAATAGGCAAGCTTTCTAGTCTCAAATCTTCCTTAACACGATGTGCTAGTCTAGCACCAATCGTACAAGCTAAGAGCTCTAGTCGTGGTATGGAAATCGGCTTGATAGGTGCCACTCTGGATCAAGCTGAGATGAGCTGACATGTAACGGAATTTTCATTACAGCTTCGCATAAATATGCATGTGGCATAAGTCACGATTTAACTCGCGTCAAAAAACATCGAATAAGTAATAAGATAAATCGGAAATTCTTTCGGAGTCAGGAAAAATTCTGGGTATAGTTATTTTTTCCAAATTATGTAATTTATTTTTCCAACTTATATATAGGTACGTTTATATTGCTTGTTCAAGTGGCTTAATTGCATTGCATATAGAAATATGGTTAGGCTTCAAACATTTAAAACAAACTCCGCTCTTCAGTAATTTTTGCTTTTTTTCATCTAAGGTTAAACGAATTGCATTCGGACATTCTGCATTCAGATGATCTGAATCACAAAATAGGCAGTTCCAATGTTTATAATTTCGATTCTCATTTGTAGACAGAAACTGCGTGACAAACGATACATCCGGTACCCGTTTATCATGTTACGTTGACAGCTTGTTTTCGCCTTTTGTTTGTCGGGGGGGGGAATTGACGCCGCTTTTTTTAATTGCAAAGCTGTTTTTTCCCATGCAATTAATTACTGAGAAATAAAACCCATTAAACTGTAGAAATCATATTTTAAACTTTCCTTTTCTTCTTTATTATATTCTAGGATTAGATCAGAAGGAAGGGACTTAAGAATGATTGGACATAGAATACTTCCATAAGTGTCAGATGCGACATTTAATGCTTCTAAACTACGTATGTGAGTCTGACAGTGATGGAATAATTTTCTAAAGGCTTTAATATCATTAAAATTTCTCAATGGATTAATTTTCAATAAATTATCCAAGTGTGCATTAATCAACACATCTTAACTTCCGAATCTATCTTGTAGTAAATTAATAGCTGAATCATAATTTTTGGAAGAAAGTGAAAATCCTTCTATAGTACTCAATGCAGTTCCTCCTAAATGTGCACGCAAATAAGTAAACTTATCTACTTTTTCTAAAGATTCGTTTTTGTGAATTGCCAAATCAAAACAGTTCCAAAATGAAAGCCATTGGCTGACATCACCATAAAATTTTGGAATAGATATTTTCGGCAATTTAATACGTTCTCGTCTGTTACTTTCTAGTGTTTGAGAAGATAATTGAGAATTAGATAGATTTGTATCAATAACAGCAGAGTTTTGGTTTGACAACTGAATTCGTTTTTTCGCTCTAAATTTCCACAACAGAAGTCTTTCGCGATATTCTTCTGCAGTTTGAATCTCTTCATTTAATTCTTCTGGTTTCAAAATACTTTCAATTTCAGAATCAGCTATCTTAAGAGATTCAAACTTATCATTCAACAGTTCTAAGCCTTCTTCTAGCAAATTTACATCAACAGAAGACTTATCTAGTTCTAATTCTATTTTGTTAAGAATTCTGGTAATATATGTTCTCAAACCACCTCTCTTTTTCTTCAGTAATAACTTCTACTGACATGTTTACTGAATCAAACATATAACATATGAAATCTTAAAGAATTAATTCAGTAAGTGCCTTTCAAATTCAAATTACATAAAATCATTAATATGAATCTTAAATTAATTCGCTTTCTTCGCGGCACGGGATGCCAAATAATGTAATGTTCATGTTATGATTAACAGCATAATCATTCTTAGAAAGTAAAAGGTAAAAAGGCTTACCTTTTAGTCGATCTTTTTTCTCGATTCAAAGGCGTATCAGGGAATGTTTTTATTAATTACATTCATCAAAGGTACTACTCACGCAAAAAGAGAATCTTCTAAGATAATAAGATATTTAATTTACAATCACATCACTAAACTAAGATATATATATGTAAGATAAAAATATATGAATCAAAATTATAGATTAAACTATAAACATTATAAACTATAAACATTAATTCTTCCTCTCTATTCTAAAATCGTAATAACTTCTTTTAATTTTTGAAAAGCTTTTTGACATTCATCAGTCCAATTATAAGGAGTATCTTTCTTAAGTAAATTTGTTAATGGGGCTCTAATTTTAGAATAATTTTGAATAAATTTATGATAAACATTAATACTTCCTAAAAATCTTTGTAATTCTTTGATATTTTTAGGGGGTTGCAATTTCTTAATAACCTCTATATTTGCATTACTGGGCTGGTATTTACCTGCTTGAATTTCATATCCTAGAAAATTATTCATATCCATCTAATACAGCATCAATTCTAGGAATAGGTTCAGAATCAGTTTTAGTAATTTGGTTAAGCTTCCTGAAATCAATACACAATCTGCTTCTGGACTGCTCGTCTCACTTATAAGCTAAAGCTACAGGAGCAGCATAAGGACTATAAGAAGGTTTAATAATTCCAGCTTTTAACAATTCATCTATTTGTTTTTTAATTTCACTATTATCTTTAGGGGATGCTCTATATGGTCTGGGAGGTTCAACCCTTATACAACCAACATCATATTTACTTTTTGCAAATATATGGTTATAATCATTCAACAATTTCTGTAATTTACTATCAGAATTTTTACTATTTTCAAAATAATTACCACAATTTTTAGAACTAAGATCATTTTTACATACAAAATTTTCGCTATTATCAAAATATTTACTAGATTGTTCAGCACTGATATCATTTTTTACATACATAATTATTTTGGAAAAACTTGTCTACTTTAACATTTTTTACTTACCTGTTTTCCAAGCTGATACACTTCATAATTATGAAAATTCAATTGTAATTTAAATAATGAAACACATGGTGATGAAAGCAATAAATAATTCAAATTTGAATCTATCTACTACATAAAATATCACATTATTTTCTATTTTACCTACTTTACACTTTACTTTGATTATTTTCTCTATATGAACTTGACTAGATATTGAAAATATTTTATCATGAGATTTCAATGAAATTTCTCTAAATTTATCACCAATTTTGTTAAAATATTTTAACGGTAAAACGTTAATTTGCGATCCCGTATCAATAATACTGGGAATTTTTTCCTGTCCAATTTGGACATTCACTTTAAAGTAATATCATTTTTTAACTTCTCTTTTAGGAACCGTGTTATAATTAATAGCAGGTAATTGTGGATATCGAATTGGCCGATACGCATACTGTAGAGGTCGGTATTGCACTTGTTGATAATTAAAAGGTCTCACACTATGAAAACTTTGATAAGGAGTGGCTTGCACTGGTCTGGGATAATAGCACCTCGGAACAGTTTGCCTTGGAGAAACAAATTGATAATTATTATTTCCTAGACCATCCAACGGCATCTGAACTGGAAACAGTTTCCTAGCAAGAGTAATCCAGTCTTTCGGTGTGTCTATGTTTTGCACTGTTAACAGCATTCATTCTTTGAGACTCAGGAAGTCCTTCCGTAAGTGCTTCCACCATTGTGGAATCTGTTAGTTTCAAGCTGGCTCCTAATTTCAACTTATTACGAAAATAAACATCAATATTATTAAATTTCTCGTATTTTAAAGACACAAAATCACTAAAAGTAACAGATTCCGATGTTGTGAAGTATGTCTCGAAAATATCCTTTATGTTGTCCCAGTCTTTATCTAAACAATCACGTAAATAGAGGGCTAAAGCCTCTCCTCTAATACACTCTGAGAAAACAAATTTCTTTTCCTTTTCTGGAATGTTCTTTGCGGCACATTTCTCTTCAAACAATAGAAGATATTTGTCTATTGGAAAATTTGTACTTGTGCCATCAAAAATAGGGAATTGGAATTTCATTGTATCCACAATAGCTACGGATTCTTGCTTATCAGTTGACATTTTTGCCGTTTTTGAGCGTGTTAACATTCCAATCACAAAATCTTGAATTTAAGAGTTCGCATACACATCAATTTGAACACTAAAATCAATCACTTTAGAAGCACTTGATAAAACGCATAACTTTGGAGACGAGGGAAAGCACTTAAGAATCGCCGGAAAAGAAGCAACAAGCATCAGACGATCACACACTGTCCTTGACCCACTGTTGAATTTAGAAGCGCGTTATAAATAAATCCAGGAGCTTTTTTCCCACGTAGAGGATAATCCTACCGGGACTCTAAAATTAAAAATTTATTTAAAAAAATTGATCTTTATAAATTATACTTTACAGAACAAAAATTTGATGACTCATGTTTTTTTTTTTTTTTTTTTAATTTGCTAGTGCTTTAACTCTTTCTCTTAAAAAGGCTTCTCTGTCGCTACGCCTTTTTCTTTTGAAGGGGGGATATGTAAGATAAAAATATATGAATCAAAATTATAGATTAAACTATAAACATTATGAACTATAAACATTAATTCTTCCTCTCTATTCTAAAATCGTAATAACTTCTTTGCATTGCGTCATTTCTAGATCACTCTATGATCGGCGCAGCTCTGATGACGTAATCATTGGGAACTGAAACTGTCCTTGTAAACCAAAACTTTTCTCTTCGCGTGCCTCCATCTTGCATAACTACGCACTTCAGCTTTTGCCCTCTACTCTGCTAAGATGTAATTTCGCTGGCTTGCTTTCTATCTCAACAATATCAAAAATGTAAATCTTCTGTGAAAAGCCACGACTAGAGTGCCAAGTGATTGTGGCCACAAATATCTATTGGAAATAAAAATGGAATTAAAACTGCCTCGACTGCCAAGTTCTTTAAATACTACGCAATCAAAATTCTTCTTCAATATGGATCTAAGCACGCATCTACAGTGTTCCGTCATTTCCTTTTGCTTTTATTATGACATATATATATATATATAACACAGAAGAGAAGGATTACATGTTTCACTGAAACATCCATCACGAGTTCTTAAAGTTCAGTTAAAAGTTCTGTTATAGTTTTTTTGCTGCGCGCATGCGCAAATCATGTGGTGATCGGTGAATCACGGTGAAATCACGGAAATGCTCATATAGCCAGCACATTCGCATATATTTGACCCTCGGACCGAACTACTAGTGCTCAGCGGCTTTTATTGCTTAGCCACTAATGGGGCCATTGCATACAAAATATGGGCTATTGCGGAAAGGAAAAATTGTTTCCTGTCTTGTTTTTCATACTTCCTATTTCATAAGTAATTTTAATTTCTTACCTGCCTTAACGCTATTAAAATATCACGGAATTAGTAACGAACATAAAAATTTTACTCTGTAAGCCTTTTGTCCTGCAGATAAGTGCATGGAATCGTTATAATTTAATCTCCGGTTTGATTTTCGGTTGCCAGAATCGCGAGACTTGATAAGCGCTCCTGGCTCACATTTTTTAATATGTTATGGTGTATTGTGGTTAAGGCTTGGTGTATATCCTTAAAAGACATGACTCCGTTTCGTTAAACAAAACTTTTTTTACACACACAATAATTTTAAACAACTAACATAACATAACGAAATAACATAACAGAAAACTACTAAACTGAAATTCGTACATCCTACGCTCGAGCTAAAGGTGAAGTGGCCGAGTTCACTGCCGCGCTAGCAGTTTTTACGTAAACTACATGACGAGGATTGGCTGCGCACGCAGTTGAACAACATACTGCCACAATGTTTTAATTTGCTGAAACTTCGATCTGAACAGGTTGAAGTGTTCGTGATTCGCCCTCAAACAGTTCATCAGATTGCTTTTTGTGCTGCGGAATTTTTTCTTCGTTAGAATAGACTGAACTGCAATTTTTTCGGATACTGTTTTGGACTCTTGTATCCAATATTCCATAGGATTTTTCTCTCATTTTTTATAATTCCTCAGTTTGGGTCAGTTCTTTCGTTACACACTTTCGGAAGAGGAATTCCTTTTGAATTTCTATATTTACTCGATTGACTTCTGGAAAATATTAGCTCACATTTTCAGGTTGATAGTAAATTCAAAAGTTTTCACAGCATGTACCAGATGTCCTACCTCGTGCTTCGATTCCGTATCAAGAGAAATGAGAAATACCTTTAATTGCTTTTAAATATTTTAATATTTCCGGTAAATTCATTATAAGGACTTTCACAGCCACATATTTTGCCGACCATCTTGTCTAGCTGCTTCCTTTTAAGTTGTATTTTGTACATTTTTTCATAATATACCATCGAGTAGTGCATCTGACAAAAAAGCAAAGTATTTTCTGAGTAATTCCAAACAGATAAACTGCTTCCGAGCACGAAGAAGCAGAATGCACACCGACAAGATACGAGGAGTGATCCAAACATGGCACAAATTCCTCCAGCTTATTCATTTCTGTAATCCTATTTTGTACTGTTTTAGAAATGCCAACCATATTAAGCCCGTTGTCGTAAGACTGACACTGACATTGTCCAATATCTAAGCCATCAAGTGTCAATTAAGACACTAATTTTCTACAATGCAGTGAGAAATAAATTCTTCTATCTTTTCACCAACTTCTATGAAATCATTTAAATTTTCTTTTATCTCACACACATCACCACCCGTTTTTACGTATTGAATAAACTGGTTCATTTTTTTTTTTGTATGAGACACATAAGGAGCGCAATCGAGCATTATTACGTAGAATTTGGCTTCTCTAATACCGTTTAAAATTCTACTTCAGACTGTTTTGCCTTTAAGTTAATAACTTCATTTTGAATTATCTTTGATAAATGCGATGATTCCTTTGTTTGGTGCTTTGACTGGTACTTAGGAGTTTAATCATGTTTGGCAAGCGGAGAGATTAAATTCAGAAAGTTTCCTTCGCTAGGTCAAAGACACTTTGTGAACAGGCTTCTTGGGATATCATCAGACCTAAGAAAAGAACGACAGTTTGTTGAAAGATATAGTACCGCATCCATGACTATATAGAATTTCTCTCCCTTTTTCTTTCTCTGTGTGAATGAGTCGCTCAGTGTCGTGATCGATGCCTTGGCAGGATTTCATTTGTTGTACTCGAATTTTCCACTTAATAATGTACCTCTGTGTATTCCAGACGCTTTGTGTTCAGTTACTTTTCCTAACTTTTTTCCAATTAATGAATCGTGTAGTATGGTCTAGCGGCAGCACCATGTTTCTGATAAATCTTAGAAAGTGTACAAAAAATTGCATTCTTGTTTTTAGAATATGTAAACCAAGATCTCCTAAGCTTTTCATTATTTACTAATGTTCTGTATTACATGTCAAATTTCTGCCATCACGATCAATGGCTTACGTTTTCTGGATGTTTACTGGCTAATAATACTGATTGACTGCTTAAGAAAGATTGTTGGTGATCTTTTATTTTTTTCTATGACCAGCCGACTGCATGGGTCCAACAAATCAAAAGGTTTTCGTCTTTCTGCTGCCCGCCTTCATCTAAATGAAGAGATCTTTATATTCATGGTTTCATGTCCTCCAGCTATTCGTTTGATAGCGATGAAGAAGGTTGTTCTTTCAAATGCTGACTTGTAGATTGTGGCAGTCAATGATGATATAGACAGTCATGTTTGGTCGTGCAAATTGCAAGAAATATTAATA